TTTTCCAGCATATGGCCTCCTCTTTTCCAACATTCATGGCGATTTCTCAGCCTTTCCACTGAGCCAACATGTACAATATGACTCTGTTTGACCTGAATGGAGTGGAACCTTAATTAGCATCATTGGTAACACCTATGTTTACCCTATTTCCTGTCAAAATGGCTGATGTGAAAAAGTTCTGTTAATCCCTGCATATTACAATCTAATATACACCGTAATCTTAGCCAACAACATGTTTTAGAGGTCATTTTAATGAATTCATGAAACAGTTAAGCTGCAGATTTCAGAATGTGGACAGTATTTAAGGGGGAGCGGGGTACAGTATGTCAGGAGATCATTCTCACCCATATAGGACCACTTGTTTTCATGTGACAGTAGTGTAGTTCCATACTTGAATCACAGGGCGGCAACAACTGAACAAACTATATGACAACTGAGCAAACACCTGAAAAAGCCATCAACTGACTTTGCTGTTCCTACAGTCAGCAATAAACGTTCACTCCCAAAATGTTTTCTGATCTGCTCGACTTGCTTTATTAGTTTACTGTTAAAACACTTAAATATACTTTAACATGATGCACACTTCCAACATTGGCCCTGCTATACTCTGAGTTTTTCCTCAAAAGAAATACTGATGCCATTCACTCATCAATTCTAATCAGTCCTACTGCATCAGTCTCCATTCATATTGTACAGCAGTAAACAACTTTACTTATGTAGCACCTTTCAAAAGCTACAAAAGTTAATCAGATCAGAATCAGAAATACTTTAATAATCCCAGGGGGAATTATTATTATTATTTTTTTCAGACAATGTAAAGGAAGCATGCAGCTTTCCGCGCCATGCGCACTAATGAATAGAATAACATTTATTTGTTTACCAAAAAAAGCATTATTGGCCAATATATCATTATCAGATTTTTATACCTGCAAATACTTATGGGCCTCAAAAATCCAGTTCTGGTCTGGCTATACTCTGCAACACACTCACGGACTCAGTCCCACTACAAACCGTCAAGCGTGTGAGGGCTAGCATGCAGACTTTTTTGTGGCCTTCATGCAAACGTTTTGCAAGTCTGCATTTCAGCTGACTTAGCCCAAGGGATTTACCCACAGCTCTGAAGTGTGTGAAACTGATTGACAATAACCTCTCGTCAACTCCGTAAGATGTTAAACCAGGCAGTCAGTCCCTTAAGTGCACTGACCATGAATAAAGTAAAAAAACACATAAAATAAGCCCCAAACTCACAATTGTACAAAACATGTTTTGGCATCGTCCGGGTAAAGTGATATGTCGCTGTCCCTTTCCTATTTATACCATTTTGGGCCCTTGCAGCCTGTCGCACTCAAGCACATACCAGGTGACGTCAACTAAGTGAGAGTTTAGATGTGAGGACCTTGCTGATTACACAGCTGCTAACACTAATAACCAGAATAAAATGATAACGAAATTTGCTTTCTCACCTCCAGACTGGTCTGTCTCCCCCTCACATGTCCCATGAGCGCCATTCCTCAAGCCCATTCCATTGAGCCTTTTTATCTCACATACAGAATCCACCGAGTTTTCTTCAGTTTCGGCCAAAATCATTGCCTCTGTGGCGGTCTCAACCAATGACTGAGGCTGTGTGGCTTCTTTTGCTGACAAGTCTGTAACCTGGATCACATCCATTTGGTTGTCAAACATGCTGTTCTGGAGGTCCTCACTGCTGATGCCATCCTCAGAGTGGCATGTGCTGCAGGCTGAGTCCTCAGCCAGCACGGCTGCTTCATCACTTTTCAGTTTCGTGTTTAGCAAAGGGGCACTTTGTGCTGCTGGGTGTGATGGTGTTGGCCAATGGCCTCTCTGTGCACTGTTTGTCTGATAAACCCTGTGACTGACCTCAACAGGCTCCCATACTGGAGTTGAGGAGCATCCGTTAGGCATCCCTTGCCCTTCCTTCTCTGTTGCGTCTCTAGATCCACAGCCTATCTGAGAGGGGCTTGTCAGTAGATGGTGGTTCTGCTGTGCTGCTGTGATTGGCTCCTGTTGGGAGAATAGTCTTCCACTACCCAGCGGTGTGCTGCTACTGCAGCTGGAGTGGCTGTTGCCTGTGACCTGGCAGCTGGTGACAGCAAGGACCTCCTGGGTGGCTGCCGAGATGACCTCAGTTATGAGTCCAGATGCCAGAAGCTCCAGATCTTGCTCCTCTGCACTGCCACTGTGTACTTGGATGTCCTCTGGGGTCACTGATTTGGTAGTGGAGTCTTGGACCGTGGTCAGGGCTGTGGTGGCCGGAGCCAGGGCAGGGAAGGTGGGCGTGCTGGTTAGAATGTGTTGGTGGAAGTCCTGCACTGAAGGGGGGGTCTCTAGAGAGTCAGCCTCTGAAGGGGTCACTCTCTGCATTTTGGCTGGGGTGACTGCACAAACAACCATCTCATCTTGTGTATTAACAGTGCTGTGGTGCTTTGCAACTTCCCCCTCTGGCTCAGGCCTCTCTGCATCAGGAAGGTGTGCTGTTGGAAGGGAGGAGCTGCTGACTTTGGTAGACAAGATGTCATCTTCTACTATGGCTGGATCTTTCTCCAGCTCTTTTACCAAGGCAGGTGATGCACTTTTCTCTGGGTCTTTATGGTCTTTCACTGACACCTGCAGGCTGTCTTCTTTGCCAGGTGATGGTAGGTTCCAGAATGGGGGTTTATGGACTTCCTCTGGTCTTAATCTCCCAAGATGAGCAGCAGATTCTTCAGAACTTTGTTCCAGTAAAGGTGCTGCTTCAGTGTCCTGGACTTGGATCTGGGAAATATTTTCATGTTCTGGTCTCTGGTTACTGACCATTAGAGGTATGTGGGTGGGGCTTTCTGTGTCATTTGTGGGGGATACAGTGCCTTTCTCAACCAAACCGTTGCTACCCTCTGCTGGAGATGTTCTAAGGCCCATAGCGGTTGGAGCCCCCTCTGGGCTGTCATGGCTGATGAGCCGCTCTTTCTTCCGTGAGATGTACCACCACCAGCCGATCAGTGCCAGGACTCCAGGCAGTGTGTAGGGCACGACAGAACGAAACTTTAGCGGCATTTCCTCAGGACACTAACAGCTACACCTGAAAGTTACAAAGACACAAACAGATTTGTATTAGTTGAGGGAAATTTCAAACTGAAGAACAATTCACAGCAAATCTGAGAAAACCAGTCACAATATGCCTATTGGTTGCAGGTTGACTTAAGGATTAACTTTAAATTTAGTCTTTGTGACCGAATGAAAGACCAAGCAGCTATGAAATTAGTTAAAAGTCATCAATTAAATCTCATGAAATATTCTAGAGAATGTAATAAAAATGCATTCCATTTGTACATTCACATAGTAACTTGACTTAGGGGTTAAGATGACCATGAACCACAGCACTGTTTGGGTCCAGCTGGGAAACTGTTTCATGTAATTTCTTCTCTGTTCTGTTTTCTGCACTCTGCTGTACAGTCGGGAAACAAGCTTTATGTCTGATGCCCAATACACTGAACACCTACATTGGACCCCAATCCAAATCATGCAGTTGGCTTGGTCATGATGTTACGTTTTGGAAAAATGTATCGCGTCTAGGTTCAAGGTCACTTTATTTGTACCCATATGTAGGTTTGCAGGCAAAAACAAGGCATTCCTCTTGGAAAAAATATAACAAAAACAACAACTAAGACAATAGACAAACATGATAAATGATAAACAATGAAGGATAAAAGATAAAGATCTCAAAAGCAGATTGTTTTTAATAATCTATCTTCTATCTACAAAGCAAGAAATCTCTGGTTGTTGTGTGTGTTGGCTCAAATATCTCTGCAGTCAGGATCAGACTGACCTTGATGTGCAACGTCGCTTTGTTTGGACTACCAAACATAAACCGTTAATAAAATTATTCCATAAAATAATTTCCGAATTCCGCTGGCATTACCGAACCGATACTCAGCAAGACGGACGAATGTTTTAACACTAGTTTTCGCCGTTGAAAGACCGCTGTTTTTCGGCAGGAAAGGAACACGGAAGAGTCGGTAGGACAGCGCGAGGACAGAACAGGAGACAGACGCTTCTCCACGTAGGTACAGCTGTTGGTATTTTTTTCATCATGTTTCCCCACCTTCCAAAACACAACCTCATTTGGCATCCATGAAAAAACTACTTAACCTCCACACTGTTTTCTATAGCAATACGTACTCCTACGGGCACTGCACTAGTAATAATAATAATAAGTTACATGCAAAGATGTGTGGCAGTGGTTTTCTTTTATTAACTACTTGAGAAATAACTGGCATACTACAACAGAATATGAACCTTTAAAATAGGATCTAAAAACTCTGCACTAATTGTTTTTTTATTGTTTACTGCTCAGGTTGCAGAAAAAGTAGGGCCATGATGCTGGATGTTACTGGGACTGTGACCAATATAAATGCAGATTGCACTGTTTTGTGCCCTGGCCTCACCAGTGCCTGAAGCCCCAACCAAAACAAGGCTGTTTCCAGTCTAAATGTCTGCTAAAACTCTGATGCTAAAGAGTGTCATGGCCATTCCAGCTGTGTGGTTATTTTATTCAGAGCCCTCCTTTTGACTCCTCTATACTGTGTGGGAAATGCTCCACTAGAAAGACAAGCCCTTATATCTCAAAGTCAAACATACAGCAAAGAATGAACAGGCAAGAAAACAGAAGGTTGAAGGTCTTACACTAACAATATAATTAGCTTGTCAAATCAGCCCCAACTGAAGAAATAAATAGCCCTCCATAAGCAATTCCTAGTGTCCCACCTTACAGGAGGTGACTCCCTGTCAATGTTAAAAAAAGGCCATGTGCACATGCCTTTCCTTAACAGACCGGGACAAGACTGCCTTCACCAGGAGGAATGCATCACATGGGTTGGATGTGACCCAATCACAACCTGCCATGCTTCCCGACACGGCTCTCATTGGCAGCTGCTCTTAAGTTCTCGTGTGTGTGTACATATATAAGGAGTTTGTCAGGGAGGAAGCCCCAATGAGCCTGGACTTTTCACCTCTGTGGCTGCTGGCACTCTACAGGCTAGCAGCAGAGTCCTGGGATATACTTTAACATTTAGAAAAACAGACAAAATCGCTTTATAGGAATTTGTTGTTGCAGAGCAAAAAAACCAAAAAGATAACGACTAATGTGCGTTTTTATGAATATAGCACAGTGTGAGATCTAGTGAAAAATCCCTGGTACCCTACTACTTTAATGGTTTAGCGATCTGAAATACATTTCTGAAAACTTGAATAGCACCATTTAGACTAGAGGGTGCAAACACGTCAATGTACCTAGGCTATGGCCCTTATCAAAGATGGCGGCGCGTACACACGCAGCAGCTCCTCTCTCCCAGTTAATTGTTGATTGCTGTTTAGCTTATGTCTTGTTGACTGTTTATGTATGCTAAATTGCTGATTGTTTATTTTATGTCTTTTTTATTATATAGAAAATTTATTTGCACCGTGGGTCAGAGAGGACTGAAATTTCATCTATGCTGTATGTCGTGCATGTATAGCATACTTGACAATAAAGTTGACTTGACTTGTCTTGAATAATGAATAGCCATGAAGACTCATTTCCAAAAAGGTGGAAAAGACTACACCATCCACACATCAGGCCGTGGAGGAACCCATTGTGGTTTACAGGTGCATAAAAGTACTAGACAATTTGAATTTATGACCAAACAACTCTGTATTTCTTAAAAACTTCACCCTTGACCTTTACTAATGTAATCCTGTACACATTTCATATTTGTCCATCTGGTTTAATCAATTTACTTACTTACTACCTACTTCTCAGAATTATTATGGTGTTACTGTAGCAATAGCAACTAACATTACAGGCTGTTGTAGCGGGTTCAATCAGTACATCAGGCATATTGCCAATGAGCTTCACTGTTTGAAAAATTAAAACAAGCATGGACAGTTACAAGGGTAATGTGGATTTGGTAATTTGTTGTATTAAAAAAAGTTGCAGTTGGTTGTCAGAGCATCCTTGATTAATAAGACAAATAAATCTGACTGACAAGAGCTGTGACACTTTACAAAAAAAAGTTTGTAAATTTTTCAAGTAAAAAGGCATGGACTTGGGCACCATAGTGTCTCTTACTCACTTGTAAGGTGTCAGTAAAGTGAGGGAGTTGCACATTGGACCTTTAAGTTTATTATTGGTATCGAATTAAAGTCATTCAGCTCTGCCTTTTATTATTCAACAAATTTCCCCAGTGAGAGCAGTGGCTACCTCGGTAGTGGCTAATGCAGGTCCAAACTAAATAAAAAGTTCAGTTTTGCAATGGATAATATGACAAGAATGTGGCTGCATCCACAATAAACTGGTGAGATAGATGAACTCATCGTGGCAAGCAACAACTTTAAACATAGGAAAAACCATTTGTACCACAGTCTGTGATTAAAGTGGATTACAGCCGGCATGGCTGAATAATATGTTGTGCCACCTTTGTGCATTGTTGGTTTCAAGTAAAGCTATATAATCCATGAAATCTAAGCTGCAGTAGGTAACTTTTATAAAAGTATCCTTGTAAACCTTTGCTGAAACTTTCACATCATAATACAACACACTAGAAGATAAGTAAACATGAAAAGACAGCATAAACAATATGAATAGAAAAATTCAGGTAGATTCATCTGGCTCCTCCTAGTGCTGCTAATGGTGTTTACAAGAATCCACTGGCCCTCGTTAAAAAAGACAACAATCAGAGCTGAGAAGATGGTTAACTGTTGAGTCTCATTCCCAGGTCATCAAATACAGATGCTGCGAATGAGACTCAACAATCAACTATCTTCATGCCAAACCAAACTGTTTTTCTTGGCTCAGATTACCCGTCTCGTGTACTACTGTGAAAGATTCAGCAAATGACAAAAGGTTTGTTTTTGTAAAAGTTACCTACTGCAGCTTTAACTCTCTTTCACTCTGACATGAAAATGTGCAAGCAAAAACAAAGCTTTCATGTAAGTAACACTGATTTTATGTAGACTACACCTAGGCTTATCTTTCAGCTTCTGTGTATTACATAAATAATCTACGTCATTTTGGAGATCAGCCATCAACAACAAATAAACGGGGTCTGTCTACCAACAACCCCAGATTTAGTAGAAATGAACTCTATGAGGATGTTAAAAGTGACTCCTGCAATTTAAGCAGCCATGCGCAATACTTAAAGTGAATTCAATATCAAATCAACAACTGAAAACTTTCCATATGGGCGCCTGAACTAAAACAGAAAAGGTGCTGATAAGCGTGTACATGTGTGTGAAATGGTGGCCAGCACTACATTCACCTTGGACAAGGTTACAACAGAAGTTACACACACTCAAATCTAGAGCACTCAGTAGAGAGCAGACTGCTGTTCATTGGTGCTGTTCCTGACCTTAAAGTCAAGATTCAGAGTGTGACCTTGGGGTCCTGAAAGGGGAGGGGCCAGGCTGCATTTACATGTTACAGACCGTACAACGTGCTGAGCACAGGCAGCCTAAGCAGCTTTCACAATGGACACAGGACAACCTTCCTTTTAACAACACACCATCCCTGTACACTAACGGGACCTACACTCACAATCAATCCGTGACATTGTAGAACACCGATATAGGAATTGCATATAAGCGGAATTGTAGAGTGGCCCTCGTTTCAGCACATTTTCGTAACATTTCACTCGATACTTTAAGGAATTTATGTCTGGAGAATTCCGAACGCCGTGATGTCAAACGATGACACAATGTACCGGAGCTCCACTGCTACAGTCACGTTTTAACTTCACTAGCGTTTATGTTAGCTTGCTACAACAACAACAGGCTAATCCTTCAATTAAGCTAACACAGAAGCCAAACAAAAATCTTATTATTGCCGTTTACAAACCCATGACACGATGAGAGGTTGCACCTTGACTTGCCGGGTTGCCTAATAAGAGGGTCATAGTGCCAACTTTCAGCAACAACTGAGCTAATGTCACCACATCAGCTAGCAACGTGCTAATAATGTTACCTACAATGTGACTGTGCGTGGCTCATAATGTCTAATCCCACTGGCGTTGTCTCGTGCCGTTTGTAGCTCAGTGCCAGCTACGAACGACCAGTCATTCCATCACAACACAGACAAGTACTGACTAATGGAAGTAGTTTGCTAGCACCAGTACACAACGTCAAACTTTACTTTAAATTCTGGTCGTTTAACGTGTCCTTGCAGTCAGAAGGGCAAGCGTAGCGTTACGTTATGCGTATCGAAAAAAACCCAAAACGTTTTCCTACTAAAATAGTCTTTGTATGCCTCAATACACCAACACTAGCTAACACTGTACAATGCATATTTGAAATAAAAAAAAATACAGAACTAGTGGGCGGTAGGTTAAATTAGCTAGCAAGCAATGAGAACAAATCGCTGTTATAGAAACTGAAACTTAGTTAACATGTGCCTCATTTGAATGCCGAATTTATCGGAACACACTAAACATCCTCAGCATAACATAACTTAAGTACTAAAATGCACAACGTCTTGGCAGTACGGTCGGAACATCCGACAATCCGGAACCAGGTGGTTGTGACCTAACGTTTCACTACTGAAGATTCACAGCTTTTTCCTCCTAAAAGTATTTGCATGCCTCAATACAGCAACACTACCCAACAGGACAACCCATCTTTGGAATAAAGACAAAACTAACGTTAGTTGGGCGGTGAGTTAAGTTAACGTTAGTTAGCAAGCAATGAGAACTTAAGTTACCGTTTTAGAAACTAAAAACTTAGTTAATGTGTACCGCTAGGTGCCTCATTTGAATGCCGAATTTATCCAAACAGACTGAACATCCTCAGAAGAACTCATGTTCAGTACTAAAATGCACAATGTCTTGCCAGTACGAAGGTTAGTGCTAACTACAACAAATATACAGGCAGTTTGGCGTAACATTGCCTTCGAGGTGGTTGTGACCTAATGTTACACGACTGAGAATAAAGCATGGCTGGTTAGGAGGCCGCAGTGCAGGATACAAAGTATGAAGTTAGCAGACTAGCCCGGCACATTGTTAATGCTAAACGTCTATGGATATAAGCACGAATTGAAATGACACAATAATCGCCATTCCCTCCACTGCATTATTTTTGGCCCATTGAACATGACCATGGGTTGGTTACATCATTAAAGCCTCGTGTTTAAGGCCACTTCAGAGTTTAAGTCTGATCGCGTTAGGCCACGACATAAAGGCAATGCATCACACCGCTTTGAACGCGACCGAATGCACCAATGTGGGCTTGTGCCGGACTGACGCAGGGTTAAAGGACATTTTAAGCCAAAGAGTGACATGGGCCTCAGACCTTCACGTTAGCTTGCTAGCCGGCCTGGCGAAAATGATAGCCAACTGCACACTTACTGCTGACAACCTACAAGCATTTGTTACTATTGCAGACACATGAGCCTGCTGTTAGTAAGTGCATAGAGACCGCAGGGGAGGAGGAATTAGGGTAATCTAAGTTACACAACGGGGAAAGAGGCTAGCTGGAGTGTGCTGACTGTTAAATTAGAGAAAGATGAGTAGGCTAGTTGTTCAATGACATGGGATTACTGCACTCAGACGGTGACACAGTAATCTGTAGATAGATTGCAGAGACGCGTGGAAATGCCCATGAATGGGTTTTTTTTATACACTGTGCGTGTTGCACTCGTTTGCGTTGATTTGAACTAAGTCACGCTGTGTGAACATGATGTCTATCGGCTGGCATGGTCTTTCCAACCTCAGCATGCTAAATGCGCTCTTTCCAGTTTTCAGTTTACTTACAGTATTTTAGGGTCCTCGGTGCCGCCACGATGAAAGCAATACTATTAATGTGAGTTTTTCAAACGTGTCCCTGTGGAAAGTCAGTCTCTCCTCCCCACGTGTTGATCGACTAGCACCAGTCTAAAAAAACATAGACTAAACAGCTGGTCAACTCTCGCGATGCTCAGGACGTTGGAGCCGCCTGTAGTCTCGCGTCAGCTGAGAATGCAGTAAAGGCACATACTTTAGACATGCAGCACTTCACGAATAAACTGAGGGAATTAGGGGTGCAGGAAGTCACATTAAAAGGATTACTGAGAGAGCACAGGCGAGGAACTGTTGGCATTCTTAAAGTATACAGGGGTTTCTATTGGATGTGATGATAAACAGGAATAGGTTCTACAGTGGCTGATATGTATAGGGATTTTAAAGTAGGACTAGAGCACTGGTTCCCAACCTTTTAACTTTTAAGGAACACATTTTCTATCATTGAGTTACTTAAAGGTACATTGTGTAGGA